TTTTAGTCCAGCGCCAGGTTTACGACAGACTCGGGGGGCGGAGCAACATCCCCAACGAGCAAACAATGGTCATTGACATCTTTTTCTCTCGCCCCCCCCTTCCCCATAATGGAGGCAAAAAAGGTAAAGGGGGCAGTCGGGTGTTTCTTGAAAAGATCACCCCCCTTTGCTTTCTCCATCCTTCTCGCCTCGGTTGGCTCCCGTTACCTCCGCCCTCGAGAAATAGAAAGTCCGAGGTCGGCGGAAGGCTTCACACTTGTTTCCATCCCGAGTTTTCCTGAAGTGACTTGTGCGAAGTGTAGTACACTCCGGGCGGGGGACACGGCCAGCTGTTAAGTTTGGGAGGGGGTGGTTTGCGGGGCTCACCTCCCTTCTAGCTACCAGCCCTTCACTGGCTCCATCATCTAAAGTGTTAAAAAAAAAAAAAAAAAAAAAAGCTCTTGGGTTCCACCATAAGAGCGCATAAAGAGAAGTACAATGACGGTCCTCTGCCATTGTCGGGCTCCCTAATTTATGCATCGTTAGATCTTTTAAGCATCATTTGGTAGGCAACCTAACGGATACTTCCAAATTAGCTCAAAGTATCCAAATCCAAAGAAGAGAGAACACACACACACACACACACACACACACACACACGCACACACGCACGCACACGCTCGCGCACACGGACAGACACAGGCAAACATAGAGAAGCTGGCTTGTGAGTATGCTGTTCCTACTCTCTGGGGATGGAAACTGAATAGGAGAAAGGGGATATTTTTATTTACTGAAATGTTTCATGTGTAATTTGCACCTGCCTGTAAAGTTCTGTAGTGCTGCCACCTTTCCCTTTGTTCCCATCCCAGGAATCTGACCTAGGATTTATTCGCCCTTCCCCTGTCACTCCGCTAGAGAGAGAGAGAGAGAGAGAGAGAGAGAGAGAGAGAGAGAGAGAGAGAGTAGAGATGGGGAGAAAGGGGGAAGGGGAAGAAAAGGAGAGAGAAAAGAGAGAGGGAGAATATGAATGGATGAGAGTATATCAAGTCTTTCTACTTGTTTGCAGCCAACACATCTTTTTGGTGGTGGTGGTAAAATAAGGAATATGAAAACTGACACAGAAAACTGGTGAAAATAACAGTTTCTCTTGAAAACTACAAAACCTTAAACTGATTTTTAAAAATTATCATTCTTTGATTTTCATGTGTTTCTGCGTGGCAAAGAACTTGTACTTTATGAACTTACACCCAATAAGACAGAATAAAACTAAGACGTGTGCAAGCATATTGAGAAAAATTTGAAAGCAATCTTGTAATTAATTATAAAACGTAAGAAGGAAACAAAGATATATTTTTTAAGTTTTTCCTGAAAACTTAAAAAATTTTCCTAAAATTGTATTGTGTATAAAAACAAAAGAGTAACTACCAAAGTTTAACTTGGCAGCACATGTCTTAATGACCAGAGCAGTGTTCATTTCTTTCTCTTATTTGATTTCAGTCCTGTGGTTTGAATGTCCTGGGTGATTTTGTCTTATTATTTTAATCATATTTTTGTTCATTTCAGTGCAGTTTTGATAGAATCTGCCTGTTGTAGAGAAAAGGCCATATGGTCATCCATAGGAAGAAAGTGACAAGTAGAGAAATGTTTAGAGTAATATTTTAAAACATAGGAAGGGACCAAATGCCAGCTTCTACCAGTTGTTTACAGACATCAGTTACTGAGAGAGAAGATTAGTATTGCTTCAGTCTGATATGCTGTTGCTTTTACAGGTCTTTCCTGAACTTGAGACATGGGCTAGGTGGTCCCCTCACTTCCACTGGAATTGTCTACTTACCTTTCTTGACCAAATGTTAGGATTCCTTTGCAAACCTCAATTTGGCTTTTAAACTTTTGTTTTAATTTACATTGTATTGTATACTCCTTATTAGCTTAAAAACAGCAAAAAGTAATTTAAAATTTTGGTCAAAGATAAGTAAAAATAATTGGCTCATAATATCTTTGCATATTAAAGTCTCTTGTGAACCATTTATTTTATTGTTCAAGTTTTGACACGTTTCAATATTAAAGCATTATCGTAATCTCTATGTTGTTTAGTTGTCCAAGTTGAAAAGGTATTTATAGTTTTTTCTGATCAATATTATTTACTATTTTCAGGTTATACATTCCATCTCATGCTATTCTACTTATAGAGCTTTAGTGTGGCAATTTACAAGTGATCATACTGGGTTCTATAATAAGCATGTTCACGTCTGGAAGGCTCCTATCTTTAAATAAAAAAAAAACACTTTATTTTATCTGAAGAATCTGCAGAAATTCACTTTCTGACTACTGAGGAACATAATAAGCCAAATAGAATTTTGAAGAAATTAAAAAAAAATTTTCAATATTTCTTCCTATTGTTTGTGTCTTATTCTGGACATAGCATACTTTGATGGTGTAAATGATATTTGAATGTGTGCAGACAAATTTGATAATATAATCTGGAGAATATATACATCTGTGTTGAAAGACACAAAATAGTTTGATATTCGCTTGAAAATTTTTATCAAATTCCTTTCATCAGATTATTTTCTGCCCAAATTGTTAATGGAAATTTATAGTTGGTAGATTGTTAAATACTGTTGACGAAATTGTATGTCACAGGAAATTTATTTCCTGGAAATGTTTTCTTTTTGTTCCTTATCCTCTGAAATGTTGGGGGGGGGGGAGGGAGAGGGGAGAGAGAGAAAGCAAATACACTCAAAGGGAATACAGTGAAAAGAGATGGTTCACACTTTTAACCTATAGTCTAGCCTCCCATTTCTCTTCTTCACCAACATTTAGCATTTGTTACACAGGAAATTTATTTCCTGGAAATGTTTTCTTTTTGTTCCTTATCCTCTGAAATGTTGGGGGGGGGGAGAGGGAGAGGAGAGAGAGAGAGAAAGCAAATACACTCAAAGGGAATACAGTGAAAAGAGATGGTTCCCACTTTTACCCTCTAGACTAGCCTCCCATTTCTCTTCTTCACCAACATTTAGCATTTGTTACCTGTTTTTCGTTTGTTTTTTTGTTTTTTCTGGGATTGTCTCCACATCTTGAGACACAGTATTATTTTACACACAGGAGACAGCATACATATGGTTTGGAGCCTTAGTTTTTTTCATAATTCAGATTGTTGTTGTTTCACACATCAAACTAAACACTGAATACTTACTATGACTGGTTATCACAGATAAAGAAAAAATTCTTAGACAAGATTCAATAGGCTCTTTTGGCTTCTTAACAAAAATGTGGTGTTTATTGAAAATCTCTGATTGTTGGCTAACCTTAGAAACAAAAATATTTGGCAAAAAATTCAGAAGGACTTTTCCCAGAGTTGGCATTTGCTTTGGTCACACAGCTTAGGCAGCTCAGGCAGAGGGGCCTGGGAAAAAGGGAGAAACCTTGTGACAGATGCCCTTTGAAGTGGAGTTCCAGCCAGCACCAAGAGAGAGATTTTTGTCTTTCTAGGGTAGCAAATAGATTGTCAATGGATCCTTAATTTCCACATCAAGCTGAACTGATTTTTGAAAATAGTACTCCTTTCTGGATAATCAACAGTATCAGTGCTCTATAGAACAAGACTCTTGCTGAATTTGTGGTTAGTTTGAAAAAGTTGTGATTAATGAAGTTCTCGTGTTAGAGAAGTAGCTATAATATTACAGTCCTTTCAGTTGGAAGGAATAAAGAACCATGTCAGTGGTACCAGTATTGTGCAGCACAATTTGAGGGTATAAAGAAACAACAAAATGTTAGGAAGATAAAATGAGGTTTACTTTTAACCCTTTGCTAATTTTTACCAGATTCTGAAATCTAGTCCTCATTTTTGTTTTTAGTCTCCCTAAGTGCTTTTAGTTTTCAGTGTTTATTTCAAATATTTTATATTTCTTTTGCTAATTTTATTCCTGTATTTGTGAGTTTCTCTGTTGCACAGTACTCCTTTCATATTTTCTTTACAAAATGCAAAATTCTTGTACTTTACTGATAAAAAGAATTTTGACTGATCTTTTTAAGATTCAGACATTTTCAGATTGAAAATAGTA